AAAGGTGAACGAAATATTCCCGTGCACTATCGGCTCTCGGACGAATTCAAATATCAACGCGTATAATATTCACGTAGAAACGTGCAAATATATGGACGCGAAATCAAATTATTTGACATCAAAGTTAAACGAACGTGTCCGAACGAAATACCCATTGTATCCGCGTGAAAATTAAAAACAAAAAACGTGGGATGGAGGTAGATGGAGAAGGATATTAAACGACGGAATAACAAACGTGAAAGAGAGCGGTAGGGGGGATAAAAAGGAGAGCAAGTGGAAAAATAAAATGGAAAAATTCGCTACCGTGTCGTTGGAGAGAAAGTCGTTTACATGGTCGAAACTGAAATCACCTTCGGAGGGTCGGTCGGTGATTTTCGACTAGCTATCGAAAGCCCTAAAGGCATCGGGTCCGCTCGTAGAATCGCGCCGTCATCGTCGATCGACCGTAATAGTACCTGTTGTTAATAAAAACACGAGGTCAAACGTGCCGTAACATCATCAGAGAAGGAAGGGAAGCAAGGGGTGGTTGGGGGATGGGGTTTCGAAGCGGAGTGTGATTTCGCTGGAGTGTACTCTGTCATGCGCCAGGTGCCGGAGGATTCTCGTGTCCATGGGGTGGCACAGCGAGGGTGGTGCTGATTGCGACGCTACAACTTCCCGCGACGAAATATAAATTCTAGTTTCACCCTCTAAAGTCTCAATTCTCTTTTTTATATTCACCGTCAGACGAGGCGAAGTTTATTTTCTCTCTTTCGCCTTTGGGTGTTATTAAAATTCCGTCGTCGACCGTAAACGCCTACAAGGGGTAGTTTTATATTTCGCAAAATTAGCAATTTTCAAATTGCAATCATTCACTAATTACTATTACGATTAGTCATAAAATTTGAATGAAGCTTCGACTTGCGAGAAGTCAAGTGGGGCGAGTCTTTAATGAAAACTACCACTTGTAGCTAGGTATCGAGGTGTGCAAGCTGGTTATTTTCGAGGCTGGTTCACCCTAGTAGCATTAAGATTCGCTTTACAGCCTCACCCCGCGGTATTCGATTCCGACCCTTTCGTCTCGTGGATTCGACGCCCCCCACTTTGACTGGTGGCCTACACCGATGCCCCGAATCGAGACGGTGCCTGCCAGCCAGGACTTAAGAAAGAAATATGAACAGAGATATTTTATGAATGCGTCCGGACGATGAAAAAAAGAAGCCAAAGAACCGTGACTGCTCCCGTACGGTTTAAACGGGAATGTATTATTAAAGAGAACGATATGTAAACAGGATCGCGTACAACTGGTGCCTCGAATAAATAATTCCTGACAGCGGAGTTCATGTAGGTCGATCGTCAAACAAGAAAACTTACCTCGCGTTCTTTCTACGACGGCCCACGGAAAGATAGCCACCTGTTCGTTGCTCTAGTTAATGCTCTAGTTACGCGACGATTATTAGCCAGGTAATTACGAATATTCCAGTTTTGACGCGAGGGTGGACGGGGAGGGTGAAATTGTAGCACAGAATGTAGGGAGAGGGTGACTGGTCGAGATTGCGTGCGTTTACAAAGCAAATGGCTTGAAAATAACCGAGCTGTGTGCCCCGTGGGCTCCGCGGGGAGAAAGCATTCGATGGGCATAAGAGGGTGGCCAAGGAACAGAGACGGATAGATGGAAAGAGGGATAGAGAAGAGGAGGAAGGGGGTGGGTTGAAACCACCCACCGATGGCAGAGAATCGAGAAGAGGCCCGTAAGGAGAGAGAGAAACGAGGAACGAAACGAGATAGAAAGCGCACAGGGGGTCAGGAAGGGGTGGTATAATCGATGCGGACATGTGCAGTTCCCTCGGGGGTAGCAACCCCTAACTCGCCAAACCTATTTATACAACAATACCCGGTACAACCCCCCATAAACCACCCTCACCGGTGGACCGCCGTGGCTGCTGTTGCTGTTGCTGTTGCTGCACACTCCACCGCCCCGCTTACTGCCTTCGGTTTATAATCAACCCCTCTTTTCTATCGCACTCTTTCTCTTTCACGGCTTCTAACCCCTCGACGATGCATGAACAGTTTATCTTGGGGCCCGTGCCACGACGACTGGTATTTTAAATAGCAAATACTTATCTCGTTCCCGTAGCAGGGTGGAAGTACCGATAAGCAGGTCGAGAGGGTAGATACGCACACGCGACAACATTGGGAACCGTAAGACCAAGAGAACTCGGTAGATTCATCTCAGATTCTTCGTGTCAAATATAAAAAGCATGGATATACCATCGAAATTATAATTTCCTTAGAATTCCAAGTCTGTGTAATATTTTTACGACTCAGGACCGGAAAAACTCCGGTCCACCGAAAATTTGAAAATTATTTTCTCGAAATTCGCATACACGTCGAGAGTCCTTATCGCGGACGGGGATAAAGTACGCGTACTTAACACGCGAAATAAAGCGATCTACGTACGACGACGTTGTTATTTACATACGCGCGTCGTCGAGTGGCTCGGTAATAAGAACACGCCGTAAGAACTTCCGTTCCGAACGGACACGCTTATAGGCAGCCGTGCGTGTGTGCACGTGATTCAGCAGATCACCGCGTACAATCCGTAACAATTAGCATAAGTATATTTTATGCATATCGTGTTCTTAACGGATATAAATTCGGAAACGTATGGAGGCGAACGCTTTCTTTATTTTTCTCTTCTCCTTCTTTCGACGCACGAAATTCGTATGCCCAAGATCGAAATAAAAAGGAAAGAAAGTAAAAAAGAAAAAGAAACACAGAGCCTATCGGTGTTACACGACCAGTACCCGTAAGACTGGACCAGCTGAAGCACGAGTAATCCGGATTTCGGATTAGCCTAAGCCAGCCTGAACACCAGGAGGTCGTTCTGGACACTTCTGCCGTCTGTCCGGTTGAAACGAGACGAAAATAAGTCGCGCCACGAAAAGACACGTTTTCATCCGTGTCGGGACCGATCGGTGACAACGGACGGTAGACGTTTCCATTGTGTCATCCCCGATAGTTCTCCAGGAATTCGTATGCTTCCAGGAATACTCGCTTCGCGGAACAATCGGAACGGACGCGCGACAACGCAAGAATTCCATTCGTGTTTTGCGGAAGAAAATACACGAGAAGATATATACAGATGTAAGAGAAAACGATTTGCCGGGAAAATAGGTGCGATCAAAGGGCAAGGGTTAATTGGTAGCTTTGGTACGTTAATTCGAGCCAGTGACGAGCGTTAGGGTTGGAACGTGCACGCTAAGCAGGGCGTGATTTTCTAAGGTCTCCTTGCACAATGATAGAAGAAGGAGCCGAAGGGTATGCACGATCGGGGGTTTTTGTTTCCCGACACGTGCTCGGACACGTGAGTATTCGAAACGCTTTCGACTGTGACGCGCAGTAACCCCTACGTCTTACCATCCCTCCTAACCCTTCGCGATACAAACGTCGAATGTTTCTCTTTACAACGAAAATTCGACTCTCCTCGATATCCCGTTCCCCTTCGAACGCGACGTTGTGTCTTGAAATAAATTCGGCGGACGTGCCGAAACTCACGGGGAACAACGTGTAATCGAACGTACGTTATTCTCATCGTGCTTTTGTAAAAACATGAATTTATCAATTAACACGTGGCATAATCACGAGTCGATCGGACGACGTGTTGCGTAAGAATGTCGTCGTACTGGAATACTTCTCTACGTCATCGAGAGGGTAACAAAACTGATACGATAGGGTGTAGACCGACCCGCTGGGACGGTTTGTCTCTGCACAAGTCCCGCGGGACCCCCGTGGTAGTTCCTGGGGCGCGGAGGCGGCCACGCATCTGTCGAATCTCCCGATGGATCTTCTGCAAGAGATCCGTCAGGACAAGCATTACACGCTACGCTGAACCCCTTCGTCCTGCGAAATCGTTGTTACAATGTACACACGAGATCGGTACTCTATCCGGTTAAATTTCACGATCAAATCCCTCAAGAACGAATTTACCAGGATTAACTAGGTAAAAGTACAGCGAGATTCGATCTGAGGCCAACCCTTGGAACTAAACTAAAACTTTTCATCAATTTATTTTGAAGTGGCAAAAAAAAAATTCTTTCGGACATTCGTTGAGATTTTGACCCACTAAACAATGGCACAAGAATTTTTGTCCTGTACTCAAGATTTTCAATCTTACAATTAGATACGGGCTGGCTAATAAGAGGGATTTTTTAGCTGTGCAATTTCTAAGAGAAAGATATTATAATATGAAAAAAAATGAACCAAGGTGTCTCGGAAAGTAGTCAAGAAGACAAACAATGTGTGCATTATTTAAAAGATGTCGGTAGGTTCTGGCAAGACACGTTTTCACGCCACTGAAAAATAGACAACCACCTGGGGAGCGGACGGTAAACTGTAACAGCGGGCGAGTCTCTCCGTACACGTACTTAAGAGACACACTTGTAGGAAGAGAGATCGCGGGGGGTCGATATCGTGTATGTACACACGGTTGTACTGGAGAAACACACGGGGATGTTGGAAGCATCGTTTCTACCCCCAACGGGACTGTCATGGGATACAGAAACGGCGCCCCGAAGAACCGTAGCAACCCCCGGAGGGCAGAAACACATCAAAATCGAATTCACCAGATGTCCAGGAAAACGAATCTCCCGTCCCTTTCCTCGTAGAAAACGACGTTGCACCGGATAACGACGTTAGGGCACACGAAGAACCCCCCAGGGCGCAGATGCGTTTGCCGACCACGATTTGCAGGGCAAAAGGATTCGACGATCGTGCCGATGGTCTCAGGTGTTTGCCCCGTTGGGAACGAAAGAAACCGAGATTTTAGCGGGGTGAAAATGTCCGTTCCGCGAATCGACGATGAGATTCGTTAGAAAAATATAATGAAAAATTTCACTTACCCTTCGGACGATGGATTTTTTTCAGGTTACAACTAACAACTATGAAGAGAAATCAAAAATATATGATTAAATGAAACGAAATGAAAGGGTACGGTAAGAAATTCGACACAACTGTACGTGTACGGAAATACGAGGTGGTTTATTATAATAATATTTATAATCATTATGCATCGCGGCGGCGTGTCTCTTTCTCTCTTGTGACAATTGCAATGCAGTTACAATTACAGACACGATTCGGTGATACAGAATCCAACCAACAAACGTTTGATCGCGCGCTCTTCGCAACAGAAAAAAAAAAGGATAAGACAGTTTTTATTTACATCGATTGCCGCCTTAACAGTTACAGGTTACACATTCCTATTTATATTTATACTTTAATGATAATTAGTACAACGTTGTTAAGTGTATCATTTACGCACGTGTTACTCTGTGTCACCTGTACGCGTGTAACTGTTTTGCACGGTGTTTGTGTTGGGTATAACGTTGTTACGTACCTGATACAGTGTCGCTGAAATATTTGAAACAATTTTCCATTTCCGGGCAAAGTATACTTTTTCAAACGTTTCAATTTTTATTGGCTTTCGTTTTGAAATCTTAATACGCTCCATATTTATGAGCGACACTGTATAAAGATGTACATACATCGTGTCATTGTGTAGGTGTCTCGGTTGTATAGAACAGCAGATATCTACAGGATGTTTCTTAAAAGTAACGTCGAAAATTAATCAACAGGGAGGGTATAATATTACACGATAGGACATTCGAAATTTTATACACAATAATATTAACATCTAATAATTCGTAATAATAATAAAAATAATAATAAAATAGTAACTTCGATGTTAACCGATTGACATAATAATAATAATAATAATATAATAATAATAATAATAATAATAATAATAATAATAATAAAGATAATGTTAATAATGGAGAATGATAACGGTCGTGAGAAAAAAAAAGAAAAACGAAGCTAAAACGATCGATCGTTTTATCGTATCTTACAGAAACGTAACTTACAAAACTTTAATGGTCGACTTTAACGAAGGAGCCTTGCCCCTCTTTTGGTCGTGGACAAAAATCTCGAACCGGAACAAAGTGGAACGGGCTCGTCCAATCGGGTTGCGAGCAATCGATTTTTCTCGGAATCATCGATGCTCACTTTTGTGGCCGATGGAAAGCAACGAAATACGAAAACGAAGGATAATTAAAACTCGTACTACCAGGCCAGACCTTCGCTCTGCATCTGGTGCGGCTCCAGGAACCCGCCCCCGCCGCCGCCGCCACCTGGACCACCGCCGTTTCCACCGGCACTGGGATTACCCTGTGCTCCACCTGAGAAATATCAAACCCATCGTATCGGTTCCCTCTGCTGCCTCGATCTCCCAAGAAACGTGGGATCGAAAGGAGAAAAGAAATAAAAATCGACACCCTTCTTATCGTTGGGCCTTTATTTCAAACTATAACAGGGTGCTAGAATCATCCTGATTACCATAATGATTTCTGGATAATTAAAGAATTCGATGCAGTACCAATGATGGTTGAAAAATTATTAACAATTTGATGGATTACATCTATATAGATATAGATGGACCTCTGTAGAAAGACATTTCTAACACCCTATATATTATGTTACATTAAATGAAATGGTAACAAAACGAATAGACTAGTAAGTACAACCTTGTTTTAAAAGGACCTGGTCGTACCTGAAGGTGCTAGGAACTCAGGACTACCGCCAGGAGGTGCAGGGGGCCCCTGTCCAGGAGGGCCCGTGAGAAATTCCGGAGGGCCACCTCCCGCACCCGGAGGTGGATATTCTCCTGTCACCGCCACTGCGGCTGCCATACCCGCTAAACTCGCCGGGTCCAAACCTGTCAGAAACAGATTACGTACTATTCAGAGAGGATCGTATCCGGTCGGCTATCTCCGAACCCAGCTGTCATAATTATCGCGACCCACCTACCCGCTACGATGTTTATTATAGTCGCTATAGAATTCCAGACGAGGTTGCTTTCGATATTCTAAACGCGGATACGAATTGTGTTCTACTTATTACAAAGCAGACAATTCGTGTTACGTATCCTTTAACTCTATAAATACCGAAGGGAATATTCGTCGAATCCTATCGATTAGAAAATGTTGAAAATTTCAAAAGAATAACAATTCAGAAGAATTTGGAAAAACTTCAAAAGACGATAAATTGTTTAAGTTGAGAAATAGGGGTATCAAGGCAACCTGTTATTAAAAGGATCTATTGAAATAGAATTAAAACACTTACCAGGATTACCTGGTCCGCTAAAGGGCGGTCCGTGAGGATGAGGAGGTTGATGAGCACCAAAGAATTCAGGGTGAAACGCCATGGGTCCGCTGTAACCAAATTCGAACTTCTCCGCGCTGAAATATGGAAAACCAGGCGGCGGTCCGTCCTCACCGCCCAAAGCGCCGGGATTCAGGTTCAATGGGAAGCCCCTCATTTTTCTAGAGCCTCCGAAGAACGGGCTCCTGCCCATCGACGTAAGTTGTTTTAACCTACGCTCCTTGCTCCTCTTATTTTGAAACCAGACCTGCAACCAAACGATATGACCGACTGCTTCTCAATTGAATTTATTAATCTTGATCCGTTTTTCTTGGAAAAATTAGATTTTTTTACATAAGATGTAAAAATCTTATACAGCTAGTGCTTAATCGATGCGATAGAAAAAGGATAGAAATAAAGGTAAACTCAAAGTATGAACCTGTATCACTCTCATGGGCAGGCCGGTCTCTTTCGCTAACTGTTCCCTGATGTGCCTGGTGGGCTTCGGAGTTGAGGAAAATGCTGACTTGAGAATCTCCAACTGTTTCGCCTTTATGGTCGTTCTTGGACCTCGCCTCTTCGAACCGGCGCCCCCGTCGCCGCTACCACCACCGGCACCACCGTCCGGACTTTTGTTCTCCGTTTGGCTATCCCTCGTCTCGGGATCTCCATCCAGGGAACCTTCGACCAGACCAAACAAACCCGTTTAATAATCGATTTCCCGCGTGAGAAACAACCAGTCTTTTGCTACAAATTCTTCGAGACTCGAGTATTACTAAATAGCACCATATTACTCTGTCTTTTTATATTTCCTCCGTTTTTCTACATGAAAAATAACGTTTTTCGACAAACGCCTTCTAAATAACATAACGTATCTCGGAATCTTGATCGGTCGGATCGAGGTACACAACAATCGGAGCCAATCCCCCGGAAGCGATGCGAAACCCCCATCGGATTATCGTGGCTGCTCTACGCTTGAAAGCTATACTCTACAACGTCCGTGTATGCGTGCGTACACGTACAATGAATAACGCGCATACATGCACGCGAGTTCGTATAATAGAAGGCCAACTCTTCACGATAATCTATATATACCCAGGGAGGTCTTAACCACGGGACAAAGAAAATGTTTGGACAGTGTCACACCGCACTACAGGGGCCACCCTTCGCGTACGCACCCCTCTCTCCTTCTCCTTTAGTATACCACGGGAAGATGGTTGTACCGGGTGTATAGCATGCTTCGAGAGAGGTAAAATCGAGGGGGTCATTGTTACGGTACGCGGATAAAAGAGCAGAAGCGAATAATGGAGTGGGAAGACCTGACGCGCTTAGTAATTCGTACTGACGCTCCAGGTCAAGCTACCGAATTTCCTCCCTCGTTCGACGGCTTCGAAAGGGCAAGATTGGTCACGATTAAGTCGTTAGTAGGTATCAGTCAATCGTCCTTTCGAAATCTACTTTATCGCTGGGTTAACCGTACAATGAAATCAATTTAGTTAAGTCATAAGTTTTATCACAATTTGATACATTTTCTAAATTAATGGTTTAATTTGTTTAAAATTAATTTGATAATAGTACGATTGAAATAAGCGACCTACCTTGATCCTCGGAGTCCTCCTGCTTACAGGGATCGCTTCCAAGAGGTAGATCTCCCGTGTGCCCGACCGTTTGATCACCAGGACCACCTGTACCCAGATTATGGGGTCCCAGGTGAGAACCTCCGACACCGCTGTGATGATGGTGACCACTACCATCCTCGTCCTCGTCTTCCGATCCTGAACCCATCAACGAGTCACCTCCTGTCGACAGGTTGGACGATTCTGCTCGTGAACGATTCGAATCGTACGTTTTAATCATTTCAGTCGTCGAATCATTGATTTTGAAAAGAACATCAGTCACTTTTCTGTTCAATGATTTGTATTCGTTACAAATTACTCAAGAAATTGAATTTTCTCCTAATTCAAAAGAAATTTGATAGTCTCGATACTTTCATAGGTTGGATTATCGCATTGGAAATAATTTAGATAACCATCCGAAGGGAGGATTGTAAAATTGCGTCGTTCAACGTGACGCATGGGTGTACGAAGCAACGAATATTCGCTATAGTAAATAGAACATAATTTGTCAACGAGACGAGTAAATTTGTCGATGTTCCGTACGAAATTAGCAATTAAACGTGATTACGGTTATTCGCTTCTGGAAGCGCGCCGCAGCGGGCAGCGTTTCGCGTTCATTATGATTTTTCGAAAAAATTGTAATTTGCTAGGAGCTTCGCGTTTCGCGTCGCAATTTTCCCGTATTCACCGACAAAAGACGCTAAAAGTTATCGATAAACGTTGGCTGATTAATCGACGCACGGCCGCGTAATTGCTGCGCTTTTCACGTGCGCCGCAGACGATCACCACGAATTCGACAACTGACAAATGGCCGCTCGGTGATAGAGATTAATGTCGGAAACGCGTGGAACATCGGGACGTCATGATGTTTGATCATCGAAACAGGTAATCGTCGTCCCCTTGCGCGTATCTTTTTTTCTCTGACGACGAATCGATAACCGTGTTGCTTCGCGAAATGCACACTTTAACCCTTTCGCTACAGACGCGTTCGGTTGTTCAGAAAATTTTTACGGGAGAGCCTTGTTTATTAGAAATAAAAATACGCTCTCCGTGGGCTATCGCATGGTTCTGCGAAAACTAAAGGCAAATGGTGGGTGGCTCCTCCCCCTATGCGCCGAGTTCCATTAAACGATGGCGCACCGTCCGTAACGAAAGGGTTTGAAAGAAAATAGAAAAAGTCTGCGCGTTCGAATGATCGAAAGCGTCGTACGATAATCGCCGGTCGAAGGATCGTGACGTCGGGACGATTACGATGGTCTGACGCGCGCGAAACTAGCGTCTCGAAGAAGAAGGCACCGTGTGCTTTCGGAAGAAAAAGGAAAAAGAAACGAGTTGTCGGACGTTTTGCGGTTTCGACGTCGTCGGCATCGAAGCGACAAAAGGTTTGCCCCTGCCTAACGACCTTTCGGTTTTCGTTTCACGGCTTACACATCAGCGTGGCCCTCGTGAAACCGAGCTGTTGCTCTCGCTCTTTCTCTCGCTAGCCCTTTTTTTCCCTTTTATACCTTCCCTCTCCGTTTCTCTCATTGGCTGGTGGCTGACGGTCGGTTACATGCACGCTGTTTTCACAGCTTGCCGTTCAACCGGGGTGAAACCCCCGTGAAAAACCCACCCCCAGCCCCTCTCGCGCTCTTTTTTTTGCAGAGCGATCCTGACTCCGTGAAATCTCGGGCGTCGAACGCGTTGAACTGTGATCCCCCTCCCTCTTGTCTCTTTTAGCTATCTGACCCCTAGTTCGCTAGTTTCGAATTTAAAAAGAAAATGAAGAATCTTGACCGTTTCGATTTTATTTTCTTTGCGTCAGAAATTATTCTGTCGAGTTTCAACTTTTCGAATGACACTCTACGACGAGATCTCTAAGCAACGAGCAACTCGAGTCTAATTTATTCGTAGTTTAACGAGTTTCTAAGTAACAGCTGTCTCTGGACTTAGACATCCGAGTCCCGATTAAAATCCAGCGTGGAATGATTTTTAATAATTACGTGTCAATGACACCAACGCATCTACGTGTCATGATTGTTCCGTGGACGAAATAACGAGGGTTTTAAATTGCAGAGTGAGCAAAAATTGGAACAGAAGCGATCGATATCGTCCCTCTGTAAATCCGATTCGAACGAACAAACGAATGAAACGAAACGGACAAGGCGATTGTTATATCTGTTAGCAGTGGATAACGAGGTACAATGACACTTGTAACTCACCATGATGACCGTGCACGTGATGCGTGTCCGGCAACGGCTTGCCCGACAGGTAGTCCTGCTTGCAGACGAACTTGTTGTCGTCCAGGACGTAGAGCTCCTCTCCGGTGCTCATCTGCTTCCGACACACCAGGCAGGTGAAGCAATTCAAGTGGAAAACCTTGTCCCTTGCCTTCCTCACGAGGTCCTGAGGGCTTATCCCTTGGAGGCAACCACTGCATTTCGTACCGTATCGCCTGGAACAGCGCGACAAACGAACCTAAATAATAATAATTAACCAGCTAATCTAATTTGAACAAATTTTTTTAAGTATCGCGTAACTATTTCTTTTAACAACACGCGAATCGTGACACGTAGAATTCACTTTTCAGCCTCTTTCTTTTTAGCCATAAATTCGTCGATGCTGACTGTACGGAACGAAAAGGAAAGTCAATGTTGTAGAACGACGACGTTTATTGAGCAGGGAACTTACAAGTCCTGTCATTAAGCCGCGCGACTCGCGAACGTCGATAAAAGAAATATGACGCTTTTAAACAGATAGGACTTTAACGTCCCGATAGGGCATAAAAAGTTAAAACCCTTCGGTGCCGTAAAAGCGACCCGTGGTTACAAGTCTGTCGAATACTCTTCTTTTTCTAGTTTACCCCTGTCCTACTTGTTAACCCTTCGCCGCATCATTTTATATATTTAACTATATAAAACCTAAAAACCCTCGAAATTCGTCGTACAGATAGAAATTTATGGTTTATAGGAAAATTATGACACATCATTGCAATAAGAGATTAATTTCTTCTTTCATTCTTGTCGTCTTGCTTAAAACATGAATGACCAAGGGAAAAAGGGAACTTATCTATTTAAAAAAGAATTGTATCCAATTTGCAACAACGATTTAGTCGATCCAAACTTCGCGTTGCCGCTCTAGAGTTCCAGTTAATAAATCTAACCGAAACGATTCGTCTGTCCGATCCTCTCGCGGCTGTATTATTACGGAAGCATCGTGGCCGCATACTTCCCAGCTAGTAATTCCGATCGCTTTAATTACAGGAATCACGCGATTAATTATAGCAATTACCGCAATCCCTAAGGGCTGCCGCCTTTCGAAAGTAAATATATCTCAATCGATGCCTACTCCTCTCTACCGTTGCACTTCCGACGCGAGAGAGCGTGCATTCAAATTCCCAGCGGATGTCTGTCACAGAATTTTCACGTCGCTTTTCCGTTTACCACGTTATACACACAAGTATCGGTTGACCCGATTCGCGACCCTCGCAGCTGCTACTATTTTATTGCTATCGCATTTCCCGTCGGAAACTCGCGTCCAACCTGACCGTCGACCCACATTGCTCTAATATCGCGAATTCTTATTCGATGCGAATCGAATCGAATCGAATCGAATCGAGGAGAAAAGTTCCGGTTGACGCGTACAAACGAACGATGAACGATCAGGCAATCGTCGAGACTAGACTCGTTTAACCAGATTTATTTTAAATATAATAAAATCCTTTGTTACGAGACGCAAAATCGCGTTTTGTTTGCTTAGAAAGGCGAACGAGAAGGGAAGAGTGCAAATTACAAGGATTATTCTCCTTCATCGATCGACACGGTCATCTATAACTATTATACCGAGTACTTACGCGAAGCATCCTATAATCAACCGGCACACTTTTTCAAAGTATTCATCAACCTGTCCAAATTAGCAGTCCTAAGCGCACTTCCCTAACAATCTTCTCACGGAAGCAGAAGCCAGAGATATTTCTTGACCAACGGTCATTACGTTGCTAGCCTCGCTTTCTCTCTCCCCAACGTTTCCATCCTACTCTCACCTTGCTACTTTCCGCGCGTACAAATCCCTTTCGTCTAATTACAGGAATTATTTAATTAATTATAGCAATTAGCCAGCCCGTGTCAACTTCCACGAATGCATACGTCACCGGTACCGCACCGCATCGGTTGTCTTTCTTCTTTTTCTTTTTTTTTTCTCTTTCTCTCTCGCCTCGTTCCACGTAAGCATCGTTTGGAAGACGCGCGTCCAATTTGTTTTTCTCTTTTCTCTTCTTTCGGAGGTCGCGCGAGGGGCAGCAGCCCGGCTCCTTCCTTCCTCGTGGAAGAAAAAGAAACGGAGGCCGGCCGTAAAAATCATTAATAGAAAGGCTTACGCGGTGCTTTCGTGGCTCGTTCGTGTGTGAGAAAGCGAACTCCGTGGGGCAATCAGAGGGCAGAAGAAGGGGGTGTGGGGCTCCGTTAAAGAGGAGAGCGTAAAGAGCTTGGAATTCTGGCGTGTAGCAAGAAATATAGGACAGCCGGGTCTGGATAAAAAAAAGGGGGTGGGACCGGGCCACGATTTGCCACGGACCCTAGAGTTTATGTATGTGGTGCGTGCTGCTTCCACCGGGGTCCCGTAGACGTCTCCGGGGAACCATCCTTTCGTAGACCTACGCTAGTCTCTGACTACTCCCTAATCATTTTTCCTTAAAAAAAAAAAAAAAAAAAAATATCTACGAGTAATAATGAAATGATATTTAAAACTTTCAAACGGAACGGTAATTCGCGGGTGAAGTCGCGCGCCACCGAGCAGCCTTACACCTTGACCTATTACAGAAACTTTAATTACCCTCCGATTCATTATTTCTGTGTAAACAGTCAACCACCTCCTTCCGTTGCGCATGCGCGTTCGACACGATTACGCGACGATAAAGGGAATAAAGAACCGCGAGGTTACTCGCAAGGCGGCGTAGCAGACTAATTACGGGAATCCAATTAGCAGCGTGAATTCGCGCGCTTCCGTACACCGTCGATTCCCTATTTCGTTCATGTTTCAAAGCGACCAGGACCAGTCACGGTGACGACACGTTTCAACCGAACGTCCACAGTTTCTCGCTGTTTTATCGCGCGGAAGGCTCGTAACGCGAACGGATCCGGCTTGTTATCGGGACGAGTTTCGGTCGAGTATCGATTAATTTGTGAAATATCGTCGATTACGGTCAACTGAGGGTTGAAGGTATCCTTACGAAACGATTCATAACAGTTATGCTAATGCGCGCCGCGTTCGCCGCGCGGTACTGCGACACGCCATTTGCATAAAATCCCGGGAGCCGCGATGACCGATGAATTTGGGCCGTTCTTTTCCATCTTTAACTTCTTCTCCTTCTTCTTGTTCGTTAAACTTTCATGGTGTTGTCCTACCGCTTTCTCTCGGTCGTTTCGTTATCCGCGGATAAGGTGCGCGCGCGTGACAAGACGACAAATGATCGTTAAATAAATCTTTCAGGGCCACGATTACGCGATTCCGTTTCCACTGTCTGTTTTTAAAAGTATTCAGTTATTAGAAAACAAAAGAAAATGAAGATCGATAGAAAACTCGGCCACGTATGAGCTAGGGAAACGAGCAAACGAGGGCCTGTCTCGAATGTGACGCAAGAGGCAGTGGTTGGCAAAAACGTAGCCGGGTATACTTAGAGGAATACGCATCGCGATATATGTAGCATTGCCGAACCTTCCTGGAAGGGAAACAACTCCAGGCATCTCTCTCCCGCTCTTTCTCCCTGTTTCTCTGTCTGTCCGACCGCGCCGGCCCCGTCACGCCCAACAAACTTCTCCTACGGTTCGTAGCGGGCGTCACGCCGCATTTATAATGTTTCCACGTTCGAGTTTCGACGGGTCTACTCCCGAGGAGGCCAGCACCGCGGGTGGAAAGCAAGGACAATGGACCTCTCGTCGGCGCCCTTTCGAGCGAGCTCGAGGAAAGCCTCCGCCGATCTATGATTGCCTTCGATCGTTTCGCTTTGATTTCCAACCGGGACTAACGTCTGGCTCGAGTCTGTTTTCCCCGTCGCGTCGCCTCGCAACTTTACTCGTCTAGCCGAGAGAAAGGCCACGCAACAACACGGTAGACGATCGAAATGACTCATGTGTTAAAGTTTCTAATTAATCCGAACTTTCTATCAATCGATACCCTTTGATCTACCAATTAATTGTACACCAAGTTAATTTACAATCGGATCAGTTTGATCAAATTCAAATTCTTTGACATAGATCTTGTTAAATCATCTAGGGGACAAAATAAATTTTTGTAAATATTTTCTTTGGTAGTAATTAAAAGTCCCTTATCGTTGCTCGACGCACCCATCCGAGATAATATTATTCGTCTGATGATTACCTTATATCAACAAAACTAATTGAGATGTGCATAACGTCAGGTTTATTTATTTTTTTATCAAAATTACCAATCTAACGTTACAAATCAAGTTACACTCGGTTGCGACAAGACTTGTCTCAAGGTGATTTATTCCCAAACGTAAGATTTCTTCGGGATGCCGGTACAACACCTACGACACACATCGCCATCAATATTCCCTCCGAGCGTTAACGATGTAACTGCATTCTCCACGTAATTCGGTGAATATTCCCGCGGTAATTTACAAGCCGATAAGAGAGAGAGAGAGAGAATCAAGTTCGAAACTCACGGGATGCCTCGAAACAAGCTCGACAGTTAGCAAAGCGTTCTAAGAGTCGTTCACGGTGTGCTGACGCACCATCGCATCTCCCCTCTAACATCGGAGTTAATGTTTTCATCGGTGTATTTCGACGACCGCGTGGACCATATTTTAAGGTAATAATTTTCTCGGCGGGTACACACCGGGCCGTCGACCGCAAGATACGGCAGTCGAGGCGGCGCTGAAACGGGGACATCGGTCCTTTTGATCCTGGTCCCTTTCGGGCCCCCACGGGCCATTATCGACCTTTAAGGACCTTGCTGCGACTCGTAGAGCCGGTTACCATAACCGCGTACCGTTCTTTTCGGCCGATACCTCGGACCTCCCGGAGGTGTTACAGTATTCCCAACAGCGATTCGCTGAAAGAAAGGGGGACGAGACTCGTTCGATTCGTGAAACGACATCGATAGATTCGTCCTGTCGTGGGAATCGATCGGCCTTCCACTCGGTGTCTTCCATTTTCATCGACATCACGAAAGGATACAAGCTTCGGCCGATTCGTTTCGAAACTGAACTGAGATTTAATTCGGCTGCAATGAAATTTTTAGAATTATTCAGATTTTTATTAACTCCAAGTTCTCCTGGATGTGATCGAGAAAACGGATCGAACATTCTTCGCGTCGAATAACGGTGATAAAGAGGATAATGTTAATTAACGAGACGGGTAAGAGTTATTTTTGACCCCGAAAGCTTTTCTACGCCGTTCGAGCGTAGCCACTTCTCGCGCTCGTCTTACATCTAATGAATTTTTCATCGGGATGAAATGCAAAGTGGCTCGTAAAGTATACAACACGTTCGTTATACACTCGTTCGTACAAGTATCAAAGGGCCCCCCTTTTAAACGCCTTACCCTCACCACTTTCTGCTTCTACACGGTCCTTAGTTATAAAGGAGATCGTTCATCGCTTCCAGAAGTCACGAAACAGAAACGTCTCTTTGGTAACCGGAAAGGTAAACCATTTTATTCGCGATCCCAAACGCTATTCGCTGAAATTAAATACCACGATAGGTACTACTACTTTCATCAAAATCGAGCTGTTGATCTATTTCTCGGTTCGTTACGTGTTGATTAATAAAAAAAAGAAGAAGAAAACAAGCGTATAATACCTTGTCGCTCAAATCTTAATTAACTTAGGCAACTCGTTACTGCTTTTTCTAATCCAATTGCTTTTTGTCAACGCGATCGGACGAAAAAGTTATCGTTAAACTTGAAGTATTCAAATCATCCAAATTTCAAACGCATCGAACATTTGCACAACCCGAATTCGTGAAAACTTGGCGCTTTCTAGCACAAATGTCAAGGTCCTCGCGAGGATGAATCGCGACTTGGGTTATCGTATTCAGCAACGGGTGGAAAGTTCCGTTTTTGCGACAAGTTTTCCGCGAAATCCAGCGGGACGGTTCTCGAAGTCGTTGATAATACCCGGACACTTTGAAAACTCCGCTCGCGCGCCCCTTTTTTTTCTATTTTTCACGCGATTTATTCGTAACGACTACACGCTGTCTAGCCAGTCCACTCGACCTGGCACCATCAATTTTCGCTACACTATAAATATTCGATACGAAGTCCGTAAATCAACGTTCGCAACAACGCTTTACGACGTGACTGACGGTCTTCCACTCCTCTAAGGATCCCAGTTTTTATTTCGCTTTTCGATCCATAAGAAGCGTACTCGATCGTTTCGAGATTAGTTCCGTCTACTGTTTTATCCCCTTTTTTTCGTTTCGAACCAACTACAAGATTCTTCGAAGGTAACCCGTTCGCGACCGGTGGTCCTCTGATCTTCCGAAGCACACAGTGCAACATTTTTCGTTTTTTTTAAAATGTTTTTCTTATTTTTTTTTCAAGTTGTTCCATTAATTAAAGTTTCGTTTCTTGCATGATTTATACTGAAACATATTTAATTTATACATTTTTCTGTTCGTTTTATCAGTTACCTACTCGTTGCAATTTAGAAAAATACTGGGGTAGATAGAAATGTGTCGCTTTGATTTTTGTCTCTTATCAAATTGTATCGATAATGAACCAAATAATGATAACGTCATCATTTAGTTTACGATTCGATCGATTGATTTCTACTCGAAAGTAAAATCACATTAGGCTTGTCTCGGAAAATGTCAAGGCCTCCTTTCCATTCGTCGTGAAATGCTTTTTCTGTCGCTCAAACGACTATCCTTTTGCCCGTGCAAAAAGAAACACGGGGATAGGTATCGAACGACAAATGTCGCGACGATTGTCTGCTAATTCATCGATCATAAATCTTTCGATTTCCTTAAGTGTTGACGAGCTGAAACTGGTTATGACACGACTGTTTATCTAATTATGTAAACGGGAAACGCTTTGCCGTACCGTTGATGCGCGCTTCTTTTTTCAGAAGAAAAATAAAATCATCACTCTATGGCTCCTAATTTTTCCATAAAATAAATAATAATTAAATTTATTTCTATAAATAAATAAAATTGCAATAATTTTATTTTCGTCAAATTTCATCTAATTTTGTGTACAATGTTTAGCGCGCCTTTTATTAATTTTTTCTTTCAAGAATATAATATTTAAATCGTTCCCCATAATGATAAACTTCAATATGTTAAACAGTGATCACAAGTACCTGAAGAAGTCCTCCCTGCAGAAGAGCTTCGCCTCCCTGGAGAAACACTTGTCCTGTAACGTGGTTCTGCAATCGAAACAGCGGACGCACTCGACGTGCCATGCTCGGTCCAAAACATTCAGCAGGTACTGATCCATAATTGGTTTCTCGCATCCTGCACATGACAGGAGCATCGCCAAACCGCGTCTCCCTGCTTCGGAAAGAAAGAGCATCGGTGAGTACGACGATATCATACACAGATGGATTGTTTTGTTCATCTCGAATAATTTTAACCCCTTTCCTGGTTCGCAATTCAAATTACTTTATTTGCACTGGTACATTAACGAGCACGATACGTTACAATTTTAATTATTCAAAATGCTATCGCTTCGTTTTCTAATTGAAAATTAATATAATATTAGTGGTACGTAGAATTTTCTTAATTCTTTTTCCTTCGTTTATATTAAATTTGCGGTGCCACCGGCTAATTTACATGAAGAAATTTAGAGATACATTTTTTAGTAAAGACAGCGGTAACGAAAGGGTTATAATTCTAGCAATCCTTAGCCATTCCAGTTTCGCGTCTAGTAAATTTATGTTGCAAACGCGTTTAGAAAATATCGGTTCGCGCGGAAACGTCGAGCGCAGAGAAAAGTTGATGGTACACGGCTGCGATCCGACGAGTCGTTTTATTTTCAAAACGCTAGCTCGACATCGTGCAAAAAACGGTGTCGCATTTTTAAATCGTCTTATTTTTATTTTGCAGCTTGTTCTGCGAACGGAGAGAAAAAAGTTGGTTAATTATTTAAATTGCAAGTAACGTTAGGAAATTCTTAATACGGCCCATGTTTATACGATGGAAAATGTTTTTCTGTCGTCTAATTAGGGAAACTAGTATCGGTAACCACGGTAAAATTAATTATAATTGTAGTTGTAGCATAATTAGGGTCCGATTAAATACAAGTGTAACGCGTGTTCGAAACATACTCCATTGTCGATTGGATTCAAAGTCGCCTGAAAATCGGTCGCACTTGTCACGTCTGCGCACGTGCATAACGAACCACGTACTGTATAGTAATTTTTTTTCTTAATTACAACGCTTTGATTACCGTGCAGGATAAGGAACTGTGTAGAATGTAGCTCGACCGTAAACACCGTACAACTTCTTCGTTGTCGTTGTCAATCTCGGGGATAAAAGTGTTACGCATCTCTAGTACTGATATAGAAAAAATTGTAAAAAGATGAAGGAAATGTGATCCTAAGTAGTTTAACATGTTAACAACGATGGCTGGCGCCTCAAATTTTATATAATCATATGATTCATCAAAGAGATGAATATAAAATTTTTTAGTAGCATTGCTGTTATGTTAATAATGGAGAATTAAAAATTAATTTTGATACGTCTTATAACACATGGCTTGTTTCACTATGGCGCACGTGTGAACAGGTTACTGTCATAGTAGAAACGAACATATGTAGTCAGACATTTATTAATTATTCAGTTACATTGTACTCTATCAATTCTTTAAAATTACCAATTGATAATTACTACTGGTTATTACAAATAGTTTTCCAATTGCAATTGGTGCAATTGAATGATAGACAGATAGAAATAAGAGAGGATTCGTGACACCACTCAATAGCAATAAATTAACAAAAAAAAACAAAAAAAAAATGGAGTAAATCAAGTGGAAATGAAACTACTTAGAAAAACATACTAGACTGATACTTGATCACAATTCCTACTCCAAGAAACCACTCGACAATCTATTACACTGTCAATTTTAATGATCATACGTCTTTATGATTTGATAATTGTTTATCGATGATCATCAAAGCGAGTGTATTTCGATGAGACGAATGTACTCGTAACACAATTACGATTCGTTGTTAATTAACATTCGTGGACGAGATTCTCCTTTATTACTCGGTTGTTTCGACTCGGATGTCTCTCGCTCCTCACTCTATTTCTTCATTTATATCTAAATCGTTCTCCTCTCTCGACCTCTGACTTCTTTTTTCGCCATTGTAAACCCTCTAGGGTTCACTCCTCTCTTTTTTTCGCGGTTTCCACCAATGGGCGGAGTTCCAACCCCGCTGGCAGGGTTGTCAACCTAGCAACCCTTCTCCCACCCTTAAAGTCTGACCTTGCGCATCTCATCTCCCTCCGTTTCGCGGGTGGGCGAGAAGAAAAAAGGAGAAACAGGATCCCGTACCGAGCCAACCACCCCGTGGTTACCTCAAGATTTAAATCGTTCCATGCGAAATCGACTTACGAGTAATTTCCACGCTGAAATTGGGTTCCCACGAAGAATTTTCCGTTCCACGCGAGAGTAGACGCGGTCATGTTACACCTGCAAATTCTCTGATGACTCTCGATGATCGCGAGTCATCCCGTAGATGACAAGCGTTATTCATCCAAGTACTTTAAAATTTTTTTAAATTTCTAGTTTGAAATTCAACCCTTAGAGTTAACCTAACGTAGGCGAAAATTGTTGAATTTAGTAACGAAAATTTATAACGTTTATTTTATCAATCGTGGTGATAAAAGTTCTAAGTTTAGTCACCTTTACGTTAACTGTTTTTATATAGCGCAAAAATGAAATTATCCTCAGGCATATTGAAGCGATCAACTTCATCTCGCTTCTAAGGATTAATTGACAAACGACTAACGAAGTACCGAACGAACGTAAACGAGTAGAACATCTGTCAGGAATACATTCCCTGTTAATCCAGCCGACCTTCCTACTTGTTAAGTCAGATATCACGAGGCGATTTCACGGCTTGAATCGCGCGGAAAAAAGGAAAAAGTCGCTCCGGGGGAGAAAGATTTCCTGGAATCGTCCAAACCAGATCAGGATTAAGTGTACGTGATACGAGAACCCTTGGACGGGCAAACCGAATACGGGGCTCGATTAATCCAATTCTTTTCTATCAACCGTGTGACGCGTGCCATCTTTACCTCCGTCATTTTATCGTGCCAACTCTAGTTTCCAATTTGTATCACTTAATCAACTTTTTTAACCCTTTCGTTACGATCTTCTCCTTGATGAAAATACTTCCACGCAAGGAAAATAATCTTCCTTAACCCTCACGCGAACCCAGTTCCTTTATTGTTTTTATTAATTTTTTACCTTCATTTTCAAAATAAAAATTTACTCAACAATTTTAAATATTCAATTTTCGATGCATACTACAGGAAGGTTAATTCCTCTGACCCAGTGGCAATAAAAGTTTCATTATGTCAATAAATTTCGAGACGATTTTACGAATGAACATTTATGTAGCACCGGCGATGTCGATTTTGAAGGGTTAATTGGTCGAATAATTAATACAAGACAATGAGCAATCCTCACGGTGAATTGGTAATCGATACGATTGCAGGTCTACGTAAATCCATCAAGTCAAGTGTGATCCGATACGTTCAGTGTCAATATTTTTCTTCGAACCACCCTCTGGAATATGGTAATGCGCTCTTGGAAACCCTTTCGCGGTTTAAGTTTGCACGCTATCTACGGGAACGTCTTAAAAGAATAAAGAACAAAGGATGTACAGCGTAATGGAATACCGAAAGTGCCGGGAAAAGATGATATTTAAATTACGGACAGTGAACGATGGAGACAGAAACTATTTTAATTTAATTCTAGACTTTTTTACCATTTTTATTTTCTACGCGTTAAATTATTCTTTTCAGATATTAGATGAAAGTCTCGAGTGTCTTATTTGAAAATATGAATTTCACTACTGATCCAGTGTTATCGTTCCACGGTTAATTTAACGCGCTTTAGGGAATTTCAAAGCGGAGTAGGCTAATTAATATGAGAAATAAGAGTGCCTAAGTAGTATATATTAAACGGTCATCAACGATTGTCCATTTTTAATCAATGACGTTTTGTAAATATTGTTTTTATTAATCTACGACTACATAGCATCCTCCCGTCGCTAGAATTCGATACCAGCATGCTTTAAAATTCATTGCTTTTCAATTAAGATTCCAATTGAACGTGTTTGATATAAATCATCTTCTTCCAGACTATTTGAAAATAATTTCCGCACTTGTTATAGCGAAAAACTGTGCGGATAAACATTAGATTCCGAGGTTTGTAGTTCTTTTTTTCTTTTAATCGGTATCATTTTTCACGAGAAAACGTATTGGATAATAATCCCGCATGCATTTCCATCCAAGAAGATTACGATTTCCTCGAATCGCTCGTTCGTCACGCACAATGACGCGTATTTCGACGAATGTTCAACCCTGTCCGAAACAAATTTATCCTCGTTAGATTCGAACCGCGGTATAATCCATCAACGTGGATAAAAAAACACGCGTTCCTATGACATCCAAATTACAGTACGATCAATCACGATAAGCGAACGGAACGGTGTTTCTACGATCTTTATAAAAAAAAAAAATTAAAAAAATTGAGGAGGAACCGTTTCTCTTCGCTCGAATCGCGAAAAACTGCCTTCGAAGGAGAAAATCCTTCGATTTAAAATAAATGACTGGCAAATAATGTTCGGAAGTAAATAACTTTCGCAATATTTTCTTCCACTAGTTTTGTTTCATACTCGAAGATGACTAAGACGAACCGTAAATGACTAGTAAAACTTATCCATGTTAATTAACCACTACTTCTTAATTCAATTAAATAAATGAAAACCTCTTGGAACTCCTTGAAAAGGATTAAATCATTGTTCAATGGCTTGGCGACAGATAGGGTAGAAAAAATGAGAAAAACTACATATGTAACTTACCTATGTTACAGGCTTGGGTGACGGGCAGGGGTGCGCAGCAAGGCCCGCCGAGGGTCGCGACCCTTATTCGGGGGGTACCAACCCCCCCGGGGCCCCCACCCCCGCCCCCGGCGCCCCCGTAGCCCTCCACCTCCCCAGCCGCGACTGCGGCCACCCCTGTCCCCACTCCCTCGCCGGGCCCGGGACCACCACCAGGCCCACCTTCCACGGGCCCGTATCGGCCGAACGGTCCCGAGGGCCCCAGTGCACCCACTTTTACTGCGGTGTTATCCCAACGGCTGTTAAATCGCACTTCTCACACTTCCCCCCTCGGCTGCCAGTTTTTCTTTTTTTCCCCCTTTTTCTTCTTGCCAGCACACACTCGTTATTTCGACAATTTCGTCCTTTTCCTTAAGTCGAAAGTCGATCTTGTTCGCGTTTTTTTCTATTGCAATACGTTCCCGTTGTCACTCCTTGGGGATGTTCAGTTTGCAAATTCTTTTCTTAGTTTATTCGGTTAGGTTTCTCTGTAGTAGGTATAGTTCTACCGAGAACTCACCGAACCAATGAGTCCTCCGATTCTTCGCGCACCGTTGTTCATCCCTCGTGTTTCTCAGCTGACAGGCCGGTACCGCCGGCACATTGGCACCACTAGCCGCGTTAAGATCGTCCCTGTTCGAACCTAAACAGTCCGTGGTGGATCATGGCGCCGATGGGACCGGTATCGCGGCAAATCTCTCAGACGCGGCTTGCGCGTCCGCGCGACGGACAGCATCAAGAGCTCCGGTGAGCCTGTTACATTCACAACGAAACCTTGTTGCCGTTTTTTTTTTTTTTCAGTCGAACAAGTAGTCTGGAACTGTGCGATTTTTAATGAAAATTCGCACTGGTATTCGTGTGTTGATGCTCGGAGATAAGCGTGACGGATAAATGAAACTCGAGTCGACGAGATGACCCGGAGAACGCGAACGAATGAAAGAAATCGGGCGAACGGGACAAGGTTCGATCAGCGACACGCAACGAACAACGCGGCAATCCCGAGCATGCTCGCTTCGAGTTCGCCAGCCAACTGGCTGCACCTGTGACAGTCGCGAGGACTACCCCCTCTACTTCGACAAGTCGTCGCGCGCCTCGCTAGAACGGCTACGCCCATTGGCCACGACCACGGCGCGGGACCTTCCGCGCTTCCATCCGATTGGCCAGCAAGACCCCGCTCGGGCGTAACCAACCCCGTGCGCCGGCAGACATGGCCGTAGAATGGCTGCGGATCTCTGGCGGCGGACGGGACGCTTCTGTCGTTGCTACTGCTTCTGCTGCTTCTGCCGCCGTGTTGTTGCTCGAAATAGCCTGCCGCCTGATTCTCCTCGTCTCTGACGAGGCGCTATCGATCCCTGTTCGGCGTATACCGAAGAGAAGAGTGCCTCGCGAAATGCCACAGGTTTCATGAGAATCTTTACCTCTCGCGCCCGCGAAATACTCTCCTCCTCCCTCCTTTATTCTCCCTTCAACCGTGCCACTCTATCTTCTTCCGTCTTATTTTCTTCTTTCTCTTACCCCTGCACGTTTACCGGGCCCCTCTCGCAACCAAGCCGTCGCTCTTTCTTTTTTTTTTATCCGTCCCTTTTCTTCTCGCGCTACGTTCTTCGATCTTCTTTCTCCGTTGCACCGTTATTCGCACCGATAGCACACATACCTGAACGTATACGAGTGTATACGCGCCCTCTGTTCGACTCACGAGACATAACCTTATCGCGAGGCTCGTTTTGTGACGGAGGCGTGTACCGAGGCGACGCATTGCTTTCTATCGATTAAAGACCTCTTCGCGTTATTGTTCGATAGTTTTAAGGGTCGATGTTAGGAAACTATTTTTTTCTGTAAGTTACAAATCACTGTCATTGTTCCAAGAACCTCCTGCGACAATGAATATGTAGTCGCAATCATTGTTTATACAAATTTAATTGTAACTTGCAAGTAGTAAAACCTTCAGGTTTATTCCTTTATTATAAATAGAAGCGTTTTCGAGTTACATTGAATCTTTGAGGGATCGAAATCGCGTTACGTAAGTTTCGATAGAAATTCCACAGGATTTACAATGTAATCCGAAACGCGTGTCACAAAAAAATTTTACGGTTGTCCGCGTGCCGCCATAATTAGCTGTAAACAAGTGGCCTCTATAAATTATATCACGGTGGACTGGTTAAGCTTATTACGAGGGTCGACCATAGACTACTGAAAAGCTGTCAAGATTATTATAGGGTCCCGTGAAAAATCGACCACCACTTAGATGTGTCAATTCGTAACGGGGCGCCTGAGTAAGTATTCTCCTTTATTATCCTTTTCTCTCCTTTCGTAAGCGAAAATTGTGCCCTTTTAAAACACCCTATGCACTTTAATCCATGTTTGACTGTTTTTAAATTACTATTTTTTCCAAAAGAATTTTGATTCATACTTTATTCGCAAATTTTACTATAAAAATAAACTACGACTCGTAAGATTACCTACAAGCGATCGTATGTTACTGTCGATATCAAAATACTTCTCTTTCAATGCATCCCGTTATTATTGTGCCATAAATCCTATGGCGAAGACGGATACATGAAATTTCGTAATCGCGTGAATCCTCGAGACGCGGATTCTTTGCGCGTTTTATTTGCAACTCGAACAGCAGTAAATTGTATTACGCTAGCTCCTCGAAAGGTAGTATAATGCGGTAATGCGCAATAACTGTAGAAAAAATAATTAACGAGGAATTAATGCCACTTCGCAAATCAACTTCTACTTGACCTCTAAATATTTTGATTATAACTCGTATGAGTGGGTGTTGAATTTTACGGAAAATTGAATCTTGTTTTTTATAATTTCAAATTTGTTTAATTGAATTATTAATGCATTATGAAAAAAACAAAAATTACGATACGTATGGATGGAACGATCATCCCCCTCTAGACCTGCCATTACTTTTTATATGAACTGTTAAGATTCATAGTTATAGATAATTCATCAAAATATTTATATACGGGACGGTATTCGTCTTACAAGACCACGAGGTTATTCCCATGAGCAAAGAAATACGATCAGTTTTTCTTCTTGACTGACGTGGTGATTGTACTTGCGACAAAAAAAATATATGTCACAGGTATGACAGGCTATTCGTTCCTACGCAATGTCGAGCCATTGTTCTGCGGCTAGCTCGTCCGACTCGACAAGACGATAAATGGGAAAAATAAACGTGGCCTACGAGTTATGATCTTCCGTATGCGGTAATTATTAATTGGTTTTCAACCAGACCCGTTTATTTCATTTCAACTTTCTCGAGCAAACGACCGATTTACGAATCGATATTTTAAATAATTAAAATTTAAAATATATCTTAGTTTCGGCGCATTATGAGATTTCCGGTAAACTAACATTTTCACCGCGGCTGACTATATAGTGGACGATTCTACTTCGTTTACTCTAGTTTCAAATATGTACCACTGAATCATGTACAGTCTCATGCAACTCGGGCTTCTCTTAGATAAAGAGAAGTGTCAATTGTTATTTGAAAGATAGGGAATTCTATGACGGAATCTACCTGTCTTTCTCGACTCTCCTGACTTCCCCCAACTCCCCCAAGTTCGAAAGCAAATCGAAAAGTGAAAATAGAAAAATAACAATTTAATGCATTTTATTATTAGCTGCATATAATTTTGATGTAGAGTGTATATTCAATATACAGTGTTTTATAATATTGAAACACAAAATTTAATATGTACAATATAACAAAATGTATACAATTCTTGACTGCAATAATGCAGTATTTCCCTTTCAAATTAAGCAAACTTAAAATATACTTTTAGCAAATCCTACAGCTTCATATACACATTTTAAAGTAGTGGTCATTTAGGATAATATCCTATCCACTTTCTATAAGTCATATTCATTGCTTCTTCCACAGCAGCATCTATAGGATGTATTATAAAAGGTATGGATGCCAAACCAACAATTGTGGGAATCCATCGACTTTTTAAGGCCACATTACTCTTTTGTACATATTGAACAGCAGTGCAAATTCTGTTAATTGTAAAGCCAGGAATGATCACTGATGCAAATGACTGCCATAGTAAAGTATCACTCATAGAAATTAGAACATCTTTTGTTGCGTTTGGATTTTTCTAAAATATAATACATTTATTATATTTTCAATCTATTTGCTAGACAACTTTTTTTTACATTTAACTTACACGATAGGCTTGTAAACCTTTGTCAATTGTATCTGCAAAAACATATCCAGTGGATACAATGTAACTGAACCATACTACTGAATTTGGAATTAGAGACCTGAAGGCTTCCCCTACCTCATTTGCATATCCTAGAAAAGTAATTATAATCTTTAAGTATTATTAATACAAAACTCACAATAAAATATTTATGAAGTTCCAAGTATCAATGCAGGGAAACAATAAATTTAAAATCAAATAAATCAATGAAAAGTTAAATAACAGCATTTGATAACCTGTTCTTTATTACCCAAGTATCTGACAGGTGTGTCACGATATATATCTACTTTTCCTTGTGTTTCCTTCATAATAAAATGTTTGTTTTTTATATAATTTTTATACTACCGGGTAGAACCTAACCTGATGTGCTAGAAATATGTTTCGACTATTATATATTGGCACGGTCTAATTCATATGAATATAATGTAAGTTGTATAAATTGTACTTTTACTAGTTAACATAAATCCAATGAGTTACTTAACAAAAATACAATTGTCGTAAGCTAATTATAAAGTGGAATGTATACCGCAGTTCACCAGAGTCCATAACTGCGAAAAGACCAGTTTTCGTTCTTCGCGCTTGTCCAGTGCGCATCTTCGCCCTGATTGGCGATACTCCCAAACGAAGTGGAAAGCGATTAGCAGAGAGCTCGCTGCGTTCCCCCACCATCTTCCAACCTGCGCGTCGCAGTTATGGACTCTGGTGAACTGCGGTATAAAAAAGGTACAGTCCTTTAAACAGGCTGAAAACATATACGAACAAAATTTCAAATATAGGGAATTTTAGATTCTAATGATTTTGACACATCACTTGCACTTGATACGCAAGTACTTGATAATTAAATCAGTTTTTGGCTATTTTAACTGTCAAAAAGTATTATAATAGTATTGCAATGATATAGTTATGCATATATTAATGTGAACAAATATGGCGCTGAATCCAATTATCTGGTTATACTTCATAACCTTACAATGTTCTTTTAATCAAAGAGATTTTATCCTAAACTTCGAAGAGACGACACACTCTTCCGGAAATATGACAGGACCGTGATATTTGTAAGTGGAAAAGATCGTACTTGTCGTTCAAAATGTTAGATCTCGATTTTATTAGGGAATATTTTAGTATGCAAGTTAATGAAATAATTTGTTGGTGGTGGTATTACATTAAAGAAATTTCATGGCAATTGTTAATAGCTATTGTCGCATACCTTTGCGTTTGTATTTTTCTTTATTCAATCTTGAAGAAAGTTAGCCACACAGCGTGGCAGCTTCCAGGTCCACCTGCCAGAATATTGTTAGTCACTGCTCATCCTGATGATGAGGTCATGTTCTTTGGACCACTGTTATATTGGATAACAAAATCAAAGGCTAGTGAGATTTATCTTCTATGTCTTAGCAATGGTATGCATAAGATTGAACTTATTGTATTGTAATAAAACAAATATACTTCAAGTATTAAATGTATAACATATAATACTATATCAAGTGTCAATCATCCTTGTAGGTGGGGATAAGAGGAGAAAAGAAGAATTATATGATTGTACAAAAATATTAGGAATTCCAGAAGCTAATGTGACTATAGTAATGTGAGACACTATTTCATTTAATTATTTTGTAAAATAATTCATTCTTGTTTATCTGAATATCACCGAAAACTATCCCTTTAATCTTCTATCTTAGTACAATAAATACATGTATAGGAGCACAGAGTTACCTGATGATCAAAATGTACAATGGCCAACAGAGATAGTGGCAGAATGTATTTTACATCACATAGAATGTTATAAAATTAATGCAGTTGTAACATTTGACAAGCATGGTATAAGTAGACACAAAAATCATATCTCTCTGTATTTTGCCATAGCTGCATTATGTATAGAAAAGAAAGTACCACACTGTTAGTATCTATGTCATTACCATAATTAAACCAACTTTAATAGAATACTAATTCAATCTCTTTACAGATTGTAAACTATACGTGTTAGAGTCTGTGAATATAATTAGAAAATATATGCAACTCTTAGATTTACCAGTTAGTTTATTATGCGCTTCATACTGGTATTTAGTGACATACGATCAAAGAAAAGTCATAAGAGTAAGTGTTGAATCAATATATATTCATAATTTTCATTTTCTGAAAAAACCGCATTAACTATTAATACAAGAAAGTATGAAATTTTTGGAACTGCTTCTTGTCTTGCAGAAAGCCATGATTGCACACAAGTCGCAATATGTGTGGTTTCGGAAGTTGTACATGATATTTTCGCGATATACGTTCGTCAATACTTTGCAAGAAATGAGTGCTCTTGATCTAGAGTTGGACCTCCAATTTTTTGATGAGTAAGTCATGTTAAATCGTAAATTTGTACAGATTGTAATTAATTGTACATAATGAAATTTGTCTATTAATGTATAATAAAATGGTAGGATTCTGAAAGTACTTTAAAACTATTTTAAACAACTAAACGTATGTGTCGATTAGAAAGTATTTTTTATTTGATCTTACAAGAATATACAAATGTTTAAAAAAACAAATACAGAACAAACTTGATAATAAATCCATCTTTTGTTCGTACAGTAATTTTTCTCATACAATTATTTATTGCAACTTTGTATAAATGAAACTCACTGTCCAATTTGATATGTATTTATATAATGTGCGCGATATAGTACTTTTTGAACGTATCATACAGTCGGAAATAGTCAGAATTACGAAATAATTTGAGCAAGTTGAACTTGTGACATATCTTAACCATAGGTATTTGTGTTAAATATTGTCTACCAATAATAACATGTAATATATATACGTGATCGTTTTTTTCTTCCATATAGACGTAAGTTTAAATCGCATAAATTTGGCACAGTTATGTATTGTGCATTAAAAATACAATTTGAACTAATTTTCTATTGTCTTCTCTGATAATTCACATTACAATTTAATCTCTTCAGGTAATTGTACAAGAGTGATAGATCTCTAATATAATACTTAACTTATTCATACCGGAGGAAAATATAAAATACATGAACATATTTTTTAATACAAGTGTAATAAGTAGCAAATTAAAAAAAAAAAATAACAAAAATCAATCATATTTTTGTTTTACTTTTCCTCCAGTATGATGAGAGCAGATGATTACTTTACTCTAACATATGAAAAGATCTATATATTTTTCATTGAACAAATCTTCATATTAATGATATGAATAGCACTTAACAATACAGTTTGTATTTATAAACAGTCTTATAAACACATCGTTAATCGAATCTTTAATACGAAATGATACTTTTGTGCAACTATTACGTACCTAATTTATGTAGGTCGATAATAATTATATATATTTTCATCTACCAAACAATTTGAAAAGTATACTCTGTGCGCTTATATTTTCTAATCTTCGCGCATAATCACTATATATTTGCGTTGAAAATAAAATATTTTATCTTCTTACAAATATAAATTATGGAATGTTTTCATGTATGTATTGAAATTCAACGATATATAAATGAAATTTTACTTATCTCTAATTACTTAATCGATTTATAACTTTAAAACAAAATAAATGCTTACAAGACAGTCGCAGATAATGGACGGCATGATGTGTTCCCGCAAGATCTTCGGTCAGTAAACTACTGTGATAATAATTGATTAGTAGAATACTGAGTTTAGGTACGTAGGAGAAGAACAACACGAAACTGTTATCAATCCTTGGAGAGAAAAGATTCTCGATCTTTTTTAAACAGGAATGTTAATTATAAAGGATTCATCGCGAAGATCTCGCGGGCCGTATCCTAGAACCTGTCTTTAGAACGATGATGCGAACCCAAAGTTCCCATACCGGGTTGAGGAGAATCTGGATCTCCTGGCTCTTGCAGATACTGAAGTTCTTGTAATTCTTGGAATTTCTCGTGATCCCGGATATGCGCGTAATTGGCAGATAGACACATCAAGTAATGTATCAAACTTAACACCACTAACATTGTGGCTACCGTAGCCAAAATAAACATCACCTCTGCTTTTTCAACAAAATCTTTACAAAACAACTTTACCTCTTGTGGTCCGCATACCTTCATGTCCTCTATTCTTGTATTATTTGGGAATATGAAACCTGCAATAATTAAATTATATATAATATTGTGTTTTGTTTAAAAAAATTGATAGAAATTTCTTTAAATGGAAAAACACTTACTGAATTGAGTGAAATCAATGCATTGATCAAGAGACTGAACTCTAGGATTACTGCATAATCCCCAAAATATAGTGAAAATCCAGGTAATTATAACCAAGAATGCAAATATTAGAAGCCAGCCTAGTTGTAGTATGTATGTGATTGTCATGAACTGGAAAATATAAAATATATTTTCTTATTCTGTTTTTTTTTTTTTTTTTTTTTTTTTTTTTTTTTTTTTTTTTTTTTTTTTTATTAGAAATATATGATAATAAAAATACATACAACAGCACAAGAAATACGTCCACCAACTCTGGATCTCCATGCTCTATATACTTTATGCCTTGTAGCTCCAGTTGCGAGACAACCAACACACAGTATCATAAAACCTAAAGCTGCCATACTAGCACCAATTGTTGCAAAAGTTAACTGAACAGCTTCTAGCCACCCAAGATGTAAGTGAAATACCTTATAATATATAATCATTAATAAGCATTTTAAATACAGTAGAATATATAATCTACATTACAGTTAAAATCTTACCTGATCCATCATTAAAGAACCCAATGTAACACCTCTGTACATTGTGCCACAAAATATACCCACCCCTAAGCAACACATTATAGTTGCAATAAGAGTTGCATAGGGCACTCTGGCCATACAATCATTACACATATTTCCTGAAAAAATTAAACATTGAATCTATGAATTCTGCTAAAAAATATATTTATTTTTCAAAAAACTCACTACAAGATCGAATTTCAAAATCAAATCCATGCAGACTTTTTTCAGAAAATCTATCAACGCTAAAATTACTATCAAATCGTCGACGCAATGGTAAACTATCGGTTGCTTCTTGTTGATCCCTCATTTTCAACTACAAATAGCTTTAACACCTGTTCGAACGAGGTGTGAAACGATGACTGAACCATCAATGAGTAATCTTACATATGTATATTATAGATAAGATTACGAAGCGTATCGTACGTGAGTAGCTTACGTATCGAATTCTGACTAATAAAGGCGTAAATTCAATGAAAAACGATCATTCTATGAATAACAGATTCTCCCAAGTACTTTTACAAATCGTCTGCTTACCCATGTTTCGAGTTTATTGTTGTTCGTGGTTAGAATACTTCCAAATGGACACTGCCTGTAACTGACTCTGAGACTATATCGTTAGAATTCTCTCACTTATTGTTACAATTGAATGTCGTTTTGCTGTATTAGTGAATAACATCCCACACACTTCTCTTAATTATATATCCGCACGTCATACCATTCATTTGTGAAGACCTTACTATTCCTTCTGACAAACTGTTGCTATTATTTATTTTTAAGAATTAAAATAATTTTCTATGTTTCATGTATGAAACTCGAGAGAATACATTACAATACGACGAATTTACGCAGTATTCATAATGATTTAAGTTAAAGATTCGTAACTTTGTAATATCGTTTCTGTGTTTTTCAATGACCCTTTAAAACAAATCAATATGGCGTCAGAAGGTAAAAGTGAATGGGACGTTGCCCTCCCAGGAAATTAGAGATCATACTATAACGTAGTAAATCAAATGTAGTATTTTCTTTAGTAAAAACTAGTGGAACGCCCCGTGCTATGCACGAGGAATTAATCAGTTAAAATATAAATTTGACTTTCCCCACCATCCACCCCAAACTTCAAAAAGGCAGGAAAAAGCAATAAATTTTTACAAAGAAAGTTAACCAAGAAAACCGCAACAGACCATTCTAAATGATGACGAAATTAGTTTTTATGTATCCCTTAAAAAGTGTCCCTTAATAAGGGTTTTACTTGTTTTCAGATGTCCTTTTGAACAGGTTTTACTGTACATACTATCATTGTCAGTACACATATAACATTTTTCTGCCTTGTTTTTGAGCATGTGCATAACGTCTCAACGTCACTCATAGCATGTTTCCGCATTATTAAAAGGAAGGATTAACCAACACATAAAAAATATTAAAATATATATTTTTTATTATTCTTAAAAAATCTGTTATTTTATAATGGGGAAATATAATATACTTTATAAATCTATAAAAATAATGTACTTATATATAATTATACTACTCTAAATCTATATTCTATACAAAATATTCAATTCTCTAAATATACATTTACAACTACCGGATATTTTTATGCTTCGGTTGAACTATGTATTTAATAACTACTGGGAGGTGACGTAATTTTTCTTTAACAATATGTGGTACTTCCGAATTTTGTTGATAATGTTGATTATATCTTGTAACCATACCATTGTTGCTCTCATAAACTATACCCCCACCATAGGTTTGAGGACTTACCTAAGGATAACAATTGAATTTGATTAAAACAAAACTAGTATAGATTTGATTACAATTTTTGATCTTACTTACAGTTAAAGCAGTACCATCCTTATAATCAACGCGAATATCTCCGGATGATAGTTGTGTCGCCGTACCTATACCCGGAATCGCTATCTTATTAGTATTATTTAAATTTCTTATGGAATTTAGTTTTCGTGACCGTGACGCTACTGTCGAAATAACAGAACTGGCATCAAAAGATGGCATCTGAAACACCAGACAAATACATAGATTATACTTTTCAAGAAATTTACATACATATACATATTCTTCGTTACATACCACGGGTGTGCTGTTCGTGGTCTGCGAAACATTTTCTTTTCCTTGCGAACAAGGAGAATCATTTAAGGCCGTGCTAGGCCTACGTCCAATTATTACGGGAAAACAAGTATGTCCCGTTGCCGCTTCTAGAGATGTTAAAGTAGACTCCAGCAACAAGCAACGTTGATAGCACTCTGAATAATGTTCATAATATTCATCATAATGTGATGGAAATTCACTTTCTGTATAAGTAGAACCATCGCTTCTCTCAGTTATTTTAACATTACCATCAACACGCACAACCTGCAGTAATTATCAACATTTTCATTTGTTCAATATTTGAAATACTTATTTATATACCTTCACTCCATTATAGAAGTGAACTTCACAATCAGGATGTGGTCCATTTTCCATGAAAAGACATTTTGATCGTTGCGTGTACAGCGTTAGTTTTGGTGTTTTAGCTCTCACAAGTTTAATAAAACGCGAAGCGTATACATATTTCCTATGATGACGTATAGGTAAATTTTCATAGGAATAAATACTATCTGCACCACGAGATGGTAATGGAGGTGGTTGATTACCCACTTCCGTTGAAACGATGGGTTTATAAAGGATAACTCTTAAACCGTCACTCGATATACGGCATACTTCGCTTATTTTTTCCTGTAATATAACAATCACATTACAATGATCTCTGGTTTTTATTTAACTTTATACATACCACGCCATTTCGACGTTTGATAAATTCAATGCACACTTCTCCGTTATCTAAAATAGTAAGGATCGCATTTTTTGTTCTATGCCTAGTAGGTTGTAGTCTTTCTGAACACAAAGGTGGAACTTGCAATTTTCCCCCATCTTCGGTATTTTCAAAACAGTTCTCAGCTTTCTCCTTTCTTTTATATTTATCATTCTTCTGTTTTTCAATCTCCTCATATACATCACAATTGCTATAATGCTCATTCTGCGAACATACCCTACTTTGAGGAGGTGGTGGTATCCCAGCTAACATCGAATTTTCTTTTGCGCGGTAATCGATGCAATTTGCTTTGTATAAATTTGTTTTTGTAATAGGTTCAGATAAAGCTTCGCTTCTTGCACTAAACATTGGTCCTAGACCGTTGGACATCATCGGCATCGTTGACGTTCTTTCTTCCGATTTAGAACGCATTCTCGGTCTCCCGTAGGAAGACAAAGTTCTTCCAACTCCTGAATCAAGCATACCATCCCCGAATAGCCCTTTACTCATACCATTTTTCTCCTATTAATATAAACATTTAATATAATTTAAGAGTAAAATTATGTTTAATTTATATTTATACAGATATTACTCACACTATGTAATTTATTTCTTTCTAAATTAGTTATAAACGGATGTTTCGGAATATCGCGTAAGCGAATTCTATCTTTTGGATTTTTCTTTAACAATTTATCAATAAGATCCTTAGCATTATCTGATAAATGAGCTGGCATTACATAATCAGCCATCACAACACGTGTCAACGTACTTTTAACAGCGTCTGTATCAAATGGTGGTTTGCCAACTAATAAAGTATATAGCATACACCCTAAACTCCATACATCTGCTTCTAAACCATGCGATGATCTCGTTGCTATCTACACGAATACATGAACGAATATTTTGGAAGTGCCTGCACTTTTTTCCTATATAAACTATTTTAAAAAATTACTTAACAAACCTCGGGCGATATATAATTAGGAGTACCGCACATCGTTAAGTGTTTCTCATCAGGCCTTGTCAATTGAGTAGCCAAACCAAAATCTGCTATTTTCTATAAATTAATACTCAATTGTACTTAATATTCTCAATTCAATCAAATTAGAAAGCTATAATATATAGTTTCCCTTACCACTTGCATATCTCTACTTAAGAGCAAATTAGACAAGGACATATCTCTATGCAGTATTTGGTGTGAATGCAAATATAACAATCCTTGCACTACTTGTCTAATTATACGAGCAGCTATAACAATGAAACCTCATGAAATATCTGTAAACTTATAAAATAATTGAAAGTATAACTTGGTTTAGAATCATACCTTGCTCTTCGGGTAATGAACGAGAACCCTGTAGTTTAAGAAAACGTTGAAGCTCTCCATTATGACACAGCTCTAATACCAAATAAACATAATTAGCATCCTCAAAGAATGTATACAATTCAAGTACTGCTGGATGCTTTAGTCTTGAATGTATTGCGACTTCTTGACGTACTCTACCCACCATCCCAGCAGCTTGCATCAATTTCTTGTCGATCTAGAATTATTTTTTAAATTCAATTTTGAATGACGCGTCACTTGTTAACCTATAAATTTAAATTACCATCTTGATCGCCACTTCCATGCCGCTGCGAAGACATTTCGCTCGATAGACACTAGCAAAGCCGCCTTTTCCAAGTAAATTTAATACCTCATAATCCTAAAATTAGAAGTAATTAATGGAATGTATCAATGAAACAAGCGTATAAATTCAAAAAGCTAACCTCTATTTGTTCACCGAAACCTCCCGATAGCGGTGGCATTTCCAATACCGAGGTGACAAAATAGTAAAATAGTTTCACTCACCACGGTCAATAAATAGCACTTTTCTAATACATGAAATTCGATGGAAATGAAATATATTTAGGAAATATATCAATAAATTTTGTAAATATAAATGACATGGCGCGACCGCCATATATAAATTTTAATATATCTTGTATCATGATAGGTGGCAGTGACTACAGATCCAACCATGAACCAGACTAGACATGCATTGTTTTCACTACGGGGTCTCAGACATAGCAGGATGATTCGTCTTACATCCTTGCATTCTTTTCATCCCAAGATTCTTTTCATCCCTACATTCTTTGCATCCCTACATTCTTCTTATCCCTACAATCTCTTCAGCCCTACATTCTTTTCATCCCTACATTCGTTTCATCCATACATTCTTTCCATCCCTACATTCCTTACATCGCTTCATCTCTTATATCCATACATTCTTTCCATCTCTATATTCCTTACATCTCTTCATCCCTACATTCATTACATCTCTTCATCCCTTACATCTCTGCTTCCCTTACATCCCTGCATTCCTCACATATCTACATCCCCTATATCTCTGCATTCCTCACATTCCTGCCTTCTTTATATCCCAACATCCCTTACATCCCTGCACCCCTTACAAGCCTGTATCCTTTACATCCTTGTATCACTTATATTCCTGCATTCCATACATCCCAGTACCTCCCTGAAATTGAGTTAAAATTTTTGCGGCTATAAGGCCTGCGATTTTATACAAATTTAGTTCCTTTTTTCGCCACCAGAGGGCGCTAACACGACATCGAAGTTTTAGTTCACATTTTTGCCGCTAGAGGGTCAGAAATCAAGCAAGCTTTAGTTCCTTTTTTCGCCACCAGAGGGCGCTGATTCGGCATCGAAATTTTAGTTCGCATTTTTGCCGCCAGAGGGCCAGAAAGCGAGCAAGCTTTAGTTCCTTTTTTCGCTACCAGAGGGCGCTGATTCGACATCGAAATTTTAGTTCAAATTTTTGCCGCTGGAGGGCCAGAAATCGAGCAAGCTTTAGTTCCTTTTTTCGCCACCAGAGCGCGCTGACGCGACACCGAAATTTTAGTTCCAATTTTTTCTGCTAGGGGGCGCTATTTTTCGAGAATTTCGCGAGAATTTTGAAAAAAAACTTACCTTTACTTACTTTTACTCGAAGCAGTCTTTATAACATATTTATTATAAGGGATGCAGAGATGTAAGGAATATAGGGATGAAAAGAATGTAGAGATGAAAGGAATGTAGGGATGAAAAGAATGTAGGGATGTAAGGGATGAAGCGATGTAAGGAATGTAGGGATGAAAAGAATGTAGGGATGTAAGGGATGAAGAGATGTAAAGGAATTCCGTAGGGGTTCGGGGCTGGGGCCCCGGTCTTCACTGCACGCGGTCCAAGGAGTACCGGCATCGGGTGTGGCCCCCGATATTGGCGGAGTGTGGCACATGGCGGAGGGTCAAAAGACCCTCCCTACCGACCTAGTGCAGGCCACCGTGGTGGTTTCAGTGGGTAAAAATCCCACACTACCTCCGCCCCCTCCCCAGGGGGGCTGAAGGTGTCTTTCTGAAGATTTCCACCACGTTAAAAAAACAAAAAAAAAAAAAGAGTATTTAAGCGTTGCAGGAATGTAAGGAATGTAAGGGATATTGAGATGGCCTTGGTCTATAATGAGGGATAAAATTATATAAATAACTGGAAAAAGTAAAATAAATGGCGTCCTCGGCTGAGACCCAGAAGTGGGATATAATCACAAATGTTATTTCCCTTCGATGAGCTTATTTATTACGCAAAAAAAAATAAATGAAGTAAATTAAATAAACTCTGGAAAAAAATTATACTGGTTGTGCCCTCTTCATACGGATCTGATATTATCCAGGGGTGTTAGGGACCCCGCTGCGCCAATGACGCCTTCTACGTACCGACCTGATATCATATTGGGGTATTAAGGACCCCGAAACGCCGATGACTTTCTTTAGATAATAATAATATAGCGTCCGGGGTGCCAGGGACCCCGAAGCACGAGTGACTATCTCTGTATACCGACATGACAACATCTTGAGGTCTCAAGAACCCCGAATCATCGGTGACACTGTTTGCATACCGACATTTTGGCATCCGGGATATCAGGGACCCCAAAGCACCGATGACATTCTTCGCTTACCGACACTACGCCATTCGGGGTGTCTGAGACCCCGAGGTACCGGTGATGCTCTTTGCTTACCGACACTACGGCATTCGGGGTATCTGAGACCCCGAGGTATCGGTGACGCTGCATGCCGGTATTATGCCACCGGGGTGTCAGGGACCCCGAAGCACCGGTGATACTGATTGCATATTGACCTTTTGGCATCCGGGGTGTCAGGGACCCCGAAGTACCGAGAACGCTCTTTGCTTACCGACACTACGGCATTCGGGGTATCTGAGACCCCGAGGTACCGGCGACGCTGCAGCCCACTATTATGCCACAGGGGTATCACGGACCCCATCGCAAATAGCGAAATATAAGACCTAAAACCGAACAAATCGTGAAACTCACTTATTCGAGTTAGTGATGGGTACGACCGGATCTAGCGAAATATAAGACCTAATAATGAACAAATCGTGAAACTCACTTGTTCGAGGTAGTGATGGGTACGACTGGATCTGTAACGCATACGCACTGCAATTATTTATTATAAAACAAACTTATAAATAATTAAGAAATTATTCACTCACAAACAATGAAAATGATATATTTGTAAATCACAAACGATTTCCAATCAATTACAGTTATCAGTTATCACAAAATCTGTTTATTATAAACAATTACTAAAAAGTTTCGACTCACATCATGATTGAAATAAAATTGCTAACTACAAAAGAACTAATTTGTCACAAACGTTAAAAATAGACTCACAATCAATCACAAACGATTTACAAACGGAATACACTAAGAAAAATTAAAAATAAGCCAATGTTATTATTTCTTCCGGCTAGCTTCATGTAGGTATATGCAATGTCGCCTGCGCTTTGGGGTCCCTAATACCCCGGATGATAATGCAGAAAGAGTCGCTGGTGCTTCGAGGTCCCTAACACCCCTGTATATCAAGTCAATATATATACATACACGGAGTCCCGTCGCAAAGGGGTCCCTGACATCCCACGATGCTATAAGGTCGGCATCCAGACTATACTAACGAAGAGCAGATGGCGTTCATTCTCAAGGCACAAATTATCAATTTAAACATATTTTTTCTCACAACTGTAATTTACTCTAAATATCTACAATTACAAATTAATTACAAATAATATACAGCACAATTTTTACATTATGCATTTGGATTGAATGTTAATGTTTTAGCGAAAATGGATGAAATATCGAAATGTTGCACATTTTTTTAATATTAGTATGTAATTAGTCTACAATATAAATATCTTGATGTTCTGGGTAATATAATAAATACCTTACATTAACGTTTTTAGCCATTAGTTTCACTTTCGGTATGTAAGGAAATAAAGGATATACACATATTACATATTTAATTTATGAATTATTTGTGGCACAGGACTTATTCATGTCGCGTCTTAAACTATTGACCTATTATTTAAACCAGCATACACAAAAAGTATGTAATTCTTTTTCATGAGGTCAATGATCAAAAATAACACAACTACAATCAGAAATTTAGTGAAGTTCAGTACTTTTGCTAAAAACTTTAATGGTACATTAAAGTAAGGTATTATTTGGAGTATTCATAGGCATAGAACTCTGGCATCGTTGTGCTGGAGGTTGATAAATGGGCTGTGTACTTCGTTGCTGATTACGTTTCTTATTATAACTACCAGATTTATTTGCAGGAACAACTCCATTTCCACCTCTACGAAATTCCATTCCTGCTATAAAAATTTTAGGTCCTTATTTCTTTTACGAAAAGAATAGACATCTATTTTTAAAAGTTTTGTTAATTTACCAGCTATGTGATTTTGCGTTTGATCATAACGTAGTTGCCTGTTGTTAAATCGTTGATCTAACTGCTTTTGATCTAGCGCGTAATCTTGAACAACTTGATGCTAGTGTAATTGAAATAGAATAGTTAACTTATGTACACAATATTAAATACGTGATAAAATTAACCTCACTTTACGTACATCATTTGTTAAAGGTAAACAGTCCACTTGTAGCACTTCTTCATAGTTTTCAAATCCTTTGAATTGAACAACACATGTCCTGTCTGATACACCAGTTACTTTTGCGGTGTAATACTGTATGTTAGAAATATTAATTAAAACAAATACAATAATGTTTTACCATGCACATAAATGGATATATTACTTTACCCTGTTATCTTCCCAGTACTTGGCTAGACATTTGTCACCTACTCGCCAAACCCAGGTACTGCCAACAGGAATATTCGCATTTTGATTGCTATTATACTGATTTTGACCTCTTTGATTGTTGGGCCCTATAGTTCCTTTGCCACCAGAATTGTCATTCGGTTGAAATCTGTTCAGTTGGTTTTTGTAATTTTTATCAGTTGTACTTGCAGGATAAGTCCTATGCGTTCCGTCTTCTTGCGCTCGATTGTGCCTACCGTAAGAAGCATCATAAGTTTGCCTATTCCTGGCATCAGGATCATGATGATTATAATTCCTGCTGGTACCAAAATTTTTTCCCTGTTGATCTTGCGGAGCTTTATAATAATTATTACTATTGGTTACATTTACTCCATCTGTACGCGTGTGTAAACCGGAAGTTCGTAAATCATTTGATTGAGATTTTTGATACGTTTTTATTCCAGTATCTTGTTGAGAATGATTATGAGTATCTTGGTTTCGTTGAAATCTTGGCGGTTTATTTTGCTGAGAATGGTTTCCTCCATTGTACTGAGAAAATTGGGGAGGTACAGTATTGGTAAAATTTGATTTTTTACTGCTCCGATTTTCGTCCGAATGTCTTGGAGGTACTTGATATCCTCGGCCTCCTTTTTGAGCTCTATTAAAACAGATGATTTTAGTTATTATTTCAATTATATTATTATTCAAAAAATCCTACTATTGCAAATGTATACCTTCCACTTTTTCCACTTTGTATTTCATTATTTTTAAACTCAATTCTCTCGTGATTACTTTCTGTATTTTGTGTATAACTATTTTGAGATAGATTATTTGTTTCTGCAGATTCAGACTGTAAAGGTAATTTATCTTCAAGAAAATCAAAAAGGGATATTTTTCCACTACTTGGTTTGCTTTCCTCAGATTTCTTCTCGAATCGTTTATTTCGCGGTTCACGTGGTTCCCGGACTTCTTTGAATGTACTAAAATAATTAAAACTATAAGGTTAAGAAGATTGTAAATATTGAATGCATTCAAATAAAAGAAACCAGATATACCTCTGTTTACTCTCTGCTTTCTGCAAACTTTTCAAAGCTTTATCAACATTATTTCGATTGACTTTCAATGCATATTCTGCTTGTTCTATAGAAAAGCCTTGGTCTACAATTTTTTGTACACTATGATCTAAAAGCTGTAAAATAATCATAATAGTTTAAACAAATTGTAAAATAATCGTGATTGCTCTAAACAAGTGTTAATTTGTACCTGTTTATTTCCACCACCAAACACTTTTTTGCTACCTTGTTTAGCAGCTTCTGCTATAGCATCCTTACGCTGAGCTTCAAACTCAGCATTTTCTTTACTAGCTTTTTCTTTCTCTGCTAAAGCTTTGAAATTCTTATCATGTTCAGAGACTTTTATAATCTTTTTGCCAAATGGTATCCATGGTGGTGGTCCACCTTCTTCTGTAGACCTTACTCTTGTATGCAATGCCAATTTCTGTTATAAAAAGATAATGTTAATTTCACATACATTAAAATTAAATTAATTAACTTACTTTGTTCAGTTCCCATTTTTCTACAAGGCTTGTTACTTTTCCTCCGAGCACTTGTGCTATCTGTGATGGTTTAAGTAAGATAATTCCATGAGACATAGGTGGACTTCCTGATCCAAGCAATATTTTTGTGCCAGGAGGAGTATTTAAGCTAAAATATAATTAAGTTAATCACACAAATAAAAATTATACAAGTATTTGTTTCTTACCTTAAAAATGAAATGTGTTCAACTTCTACAGCTTGAAAATTATTTTTACCATCCGTTAAAAATAATTTCAACAATCGTGGAGCTGCACGGGATTCCTCATTGCTTTTTGGTGCAGCAACATTACGTAATTTTTGTATTTGTAACACAATATTACCCTCATTAATATCTCCTTGACCACTACCAATCTCTCTTAAATCAAGCTACATAGGAAACAAAGAAATAATCATTTCTATTCACTAAAATTTATATGATAAATTATACTTACATCCAATAATCGCTTAATGATCTTTTGTACATCAGTAATATTTTCCGAATCACTTGCAATGGTATAACCATGATCTGTAATGTACCTAATTCAAATATTCATAAGTATTTATATATTCAAATTTAAAGAGATACTTAAATCTACAGAGTTCTGTTAAGCATCACAATAGATTAGGTTCTATACACACCACCCCTTATCTTTTAACTTTTCCATAATATCCACAGTAATTTTGTTTATTGAGTCGGATTTCTCAACGAAATAACTGATTTATTTTGCCAACTTTATTAGGAGAAATTTCATGCACGTTACATGCATGTATTCGACTTGTACATAAACATGTGTCAGCTGACGTGTAAACCGATAAGAAATATATTTTTGAAAAATCGATAGCTGTAAAACGAAAATCGAATATTTTCGCAGGTATCTGACGCCGTTTATTATACGGTCTGATGCCACCTGCTTCTTCCAAGTAACGAACAAAAGGAACCGCGCCTATCAAACCTCCAATTCTCTGCCACCATCTTGAACATTTACTCTACCGTGATTTTAAGATCGATATATCGGTGCTGTGCACTAACACGTCACTATCGATACATCGTTTGTTGTTTAAACTTAACAATATAATTACTTTATTCATTAGCAGTGAATTAACACCCACCGTAATATTCTTGTGTGAAATGTAAAGCCTCGATTATTTGCTAATTTTATTAAAAGGTTATAAGCAACGATTACAAAGGTTATAATTTTATATTGTTTTTTAATCGCATTCATTTATAAACCTTTTTTGAAAGATATATGCTCCTAAAAAAACAATTTCATAAATAATGAATTTCAACAAAATTGAAGTACAGTCAAGTTCAACACTTGAAGAAACATTTAAGGAGTTATGTAATATTATACAGTTACATAGTAATTGCATTTAATATAAGCAAAGTGAAACTATTAAACTTCAGAAGAAATCTCATAAAACAACTCAAGTAGTTAATTGGAGTAATTGAATGTAATACATCGTTATTTGAGAATGATACTGTAAAATGATTGCACGGGCAGAAAATAGGTCAGGTTTTATGCGTTTAGTACTAAAATCAAGTTTCACTGAATTGTAAGAGTGGCGTTCCTCGGATCCTTGAAATTCCATTGATTGCACAGCCGTTATTTCTACATAAATTAAACTGCTACACATATAAGTTTCATTGTAATTACAATTTTAGAATACTAAAAATAGTAATGTAGGCTGTATAAATTATTTCGTATCATAGGTAAATATGTTCGAATAAGTCATGTAAACCAATTATGGCTGACAAGTTTCACAGAGGTCACTATCACCGGCAACCCCTATAGTAACGAGGTATAAGAAAGTCATTAACTGCTGATCGGTTCAATTTCAGCTGACGATTATTGCTCGGGTGGAGCTCCGTTTGAACAAACGATGAAATTAGATCAGACAGGAACTAACTTCAGAGATGACGGAAGCATATAGGCATGATTAAGACCAAGACCCACCCATATCATCGTACCAGCAATTTGTACAAATTTCATCTACCAAAAATGATGATTATCATAAATTAATTAAAATTCCGCGTACAATGTATAAAACCCATTTTAAATGAAACCTTATCATGCTAAAGGTGCGTCACGCTAGATATAGATAATACAACAATAACATTACATATTTCGGCGAAATAAAGTTATCATTTTTAACTTTCCCATGCATCAACTAAATTATCCAAAGAGAATAAAAACAATACCATTTCGTATAAATATTAACGTGAATTACGAAATCGTCGATAAAAAAAAACCTGTTTGCTATTTCACATTTTACGGCCACGAAGTTCAGATATTTAAGAGATACGTGTTAAAAATTCAGACGATTACGACAGAATTTGTATTCTTCCTTCGAGTCTCTGCTAATTATGTTCAATGATCGTAAGAATTCGATCGACAATGATTATATTATTACATATGTTATGAATGATATATTGTGTCAACGGGTTGGATGCCATAGGGATCATATTTTATTAATAAAATAAAAAAATACACAAGCTATAGTAATTATATCTATAATTATAACGTGCTTGATCACACGTAGCTACTGTGACAGAGAAAGATGATACACAAAATATAGGGAATATCGACCAATTGAAATAAATAAAACTAGTTGGCGACACAAGGGCCTTACTAGGATTAGCTCCCGTACCCGATTCCCTACAATGTACGTAATATCTAGCAACACTAGGGTACTTCATTTGGTATGTGGCACGATTCGAGAATACGAGATGTATCTCGGTGCATACATATATTTCACACGCAACGACCAAAGACGTCACGTACCCCACTTTCGGTAGCTCTCCCCTTCGTGACGACGGATTCACCATGGATCGTACAATGGGTACACATAGCACATAGAAGCGAAGACTGCGTTGTGTACACACAGGTATAGGATGGTAAACGATGACTCGCGGTGGAAAAGGGAGATTCGAATAAGAACGTAGAGCGAGAGAGGGGAGAAAGAGAAAGACGGAGAAGTTTGCAAACGACGAGGAAAGAAATAATATGAGAAAGAGAGGGAGATAATCAAGGAGACCGAGCAACACGGAAAGCGGTAAGGGAGAGAGAGGGAGAGAAAAGGAGGAGCGAAAGAGAGAAGCCGAGTAGGTTTTACCATTTCAGTTTCACTCAGACCCGGCCTGAAATCGCGCGTGTCCACTACGATACTCGAGCCGCAGCTTCGTGTCTGAATTAAGCGACCAATTTTTCTACTTGCCGGTTAACCGTGAGATAAAACCACCCGGTCAGTGATTTTTTTTCCACCCCGCGAAGCAACAGTTACAAATCGTGCTGCGTGAAACGGTGTCACGTTTCATCGGCGAAAGAAATTGTTTATCTTTCGTGCGCTACCGACAAAACAGGCTGCTTTGATATACGACACGATGTGAGTAGAAACCCTTTGAGTATCTCGTTAATGTACGCGTTTTCAAGTCGTCGCGAACTACGACGCACATTGGAGCGGGCGGACAACCTGCAACCAGTTCAAAATGTTCTATTTATTCACGGCGAAGCCTTAAGATTCAATACGATTGCGAATTCATCGATGACGAATCGATTGTTGTTCATGAATTGAACATGGAAACGCTGTGCTCAGCTTTTTTCGCGGACAAAGGACCGTGGACGACAATTGACGAACGTGAATCAGTAAGGAAGTTCAATTAGATGCGATCTAGCGTGCTGGAACGATAATTCACGGATTAAATGACGCCTACGAAAGTGAACCGAGAAGTTGCGGTATAGCCACGAGGTTAGAAATCCCCGTTCGAATATCATTTCGACCGTATCGCGCGCGAATACGATTTCGATTACGATCGATTGATCGAGATGTTTAAAAAACGCGTGCTTGCGACCGCGCATGCGCACCACACTGATAATCGTAAAATGTGTACCCAGAGGTTATACTGAAAACGAAAAGAGGATAGATGTATACGGCCATAAATCTTGATGAGGAATTATTTTCCAGCATCCATGTTGTTACGAAGCATCCGATTGTCGCGACTATTTCCCTTTATGCGCCGTTAACGCTATAGTGAATATAGGCGCGTGCAGTACGGCACGTAATAATTGCAATTACTGAAAATATGATTGATGCAGCTTTCAATTTAGCACGGATGCTGTCATGGTCCGCGTTAAAGTTCTCCGTCATTTTGCTCAGATCTTGACGATATTATTAATATATTCAATAAATATTAATATTAATATGCGTCAAAATCACAGCCGACTTCGCGGCATTCTCAACGAAAGCTTCAAGTTTTTTCACTCGCCACCTTGTGATTTGTCTCTAATTTTCTTTTCCCTCTAGTTATCGAATGCCGGTCACCAATGACCCCCAATAGTAGCCAATGTGTTAACAAGTGAAATCGAGAAGAAAGAGTCTGTAATCGTAGACATACCGAGCATCATAACCCGAGCTCGGTGATCGTATGTATAATACGGAGTGTATAAACCAGACGACCTCGGCTTCGACGTAACTTTCGACCGACTGAAAGGAGTCCTCCCTTTAGCTTTTTCTTCGATCGTGTTTTTTTTTTCGCCTCTTAGCTGGCGACCCTTCTTTCCTTTGTAGGTCAGACTTCTTCATGTTATAACGTGCCTTTCAGTATCGTTCGATCGTATCGCCGCCAGGAAATAATATTTCCACTTTCGCGTTCATTGATTTCGATTTATCCTTACGGTACAAATGAAAGGTCACGTGCAGGCTATACTTAACCTAACTTTGATTAGATTTCATGAATTCAATCATTTTTACGTGCCATTTTAACGCTTTAATCGCCACAGTAGAAGTAGACACGTCTGATCGCACACTCCAAGTCTCTTAGTTTGTTATTTTTCATTATTAGCATTATTCTCAACCTGCTAAGAATTTATTTGCTCGTTTCTTTTACTAATTGCTTAATTATATAAAATCTGAAGTGTCGATCATCTGATGACCACTATAGCAAGAACGAGAAACGTTTTTTTAACGATTTTCTCATCGTTGATTTAACCTTCGAAAGGATGTTTCAACGTCGGAGCGTAAATTCTTTAGTTGTTTTTCCGGTATAATTCAACGGACATTTAGCAAACGACGCTTGGGTAAATGTTACCGTCTCCGGAGAAAACGATTCGCGAGAAGTCGTGACTGCAGCGCAGCGTAAAATGGGCGCCTTGGTATGCGTCAATGATGCAGGTATAAACGATGATGTCAATTCGAATATGTTTTGCTGCCATTTGCCACTTCTGAATCACGCGGCAGATATTAAGCGGAAACTTTGAATACGAAAATGATAAGAACTATATCGCACGATTATTAAATTTTACAAATGACTCATCAAAGAGGACAACATTATAAACAGGTTATTTCAGTAGATGAAGGTAATAAGGCCGTAACGAGGTTCGAGAGAGTGATCGATAAGTGAAGTTGCTTGAACACGTTCGCAATTACCAGGAGGAAAGGATCCGCGTTGCTCTAATTAAAGTCCCTGTGTTGGCCAGTGCCTCCATTACCTGTTAGAACGAGGAAGGAAGCGTCTGAATGACGTCACGCGGTGCAGGTCCGCTCGCATTATTATTTTTACGTTTTACATTGCCCGTGGATTACTTAATGCGAAGGGAGAAGCCACTTTCTCTCTCGTGTAACGTGTCTTTAAGGCAGTATGCCGGTGCGTGACCGAGTCTTGCCAGAACATTACCTCTATAGCTTGTTGCAAAACCGGTGTACTGTCCACCGATCGCAGCAAGTCCAACGAGAATAATGCAATCTGATTGGTCGCGTCCCACCACAGCTCACGCGTACTTTCGGAGCTGACGTATGATTGGTCGAAACGGTCGCATCTACTAGACTCGTGTAAAATTGGGGGGCCAGTCGATGTGTGCGTTGTACCCTCTCTTGCCCCTCTGCCGCCCCGCGAGACTTCTTGTCATCGCTGGACAGTATTTGTATCCGCTACAAATATAGTATTACGTAATATCAACGTTGAATTTAATACCATAGGGGTCGGTGATTATTTTTTAGAGCAT